CCAGGAACGCACAATCCCTCCATCAGTGCTCAGACTGTCTGCAATAGGCTGAGTGAGGCTGGACTGAGGGCTTGTAGGCCTCTTGTAAGGCAGGTCCTCACCAGACATCACCGGCAACAATGTCGCCTATGGGCACAAACCCACTGTCGCTGGACCAGACAGGACTGGCAAAAAGTGCTCTTCACTGACGAGTCTCGGTTTTGTCTCACCAGGGGTGATGGTCGGATTCGCGTTTATCGTCGAAGGAATGAGCGTTACACCGAGGCCTGTACTCTGGAGCGGGATCGATTTGGAGGTGGAGGGTCCGTCATGGTCTGTGGCGGTGTGTCACAGCATCATCGGACTGAGCTGGTTGTCATTGCAGGCAATCTCAACGCTGTGCGTTACAGGGAAGACATCCTCCTTCCTCATGTGGTACCCTTCCTGCAGGCTCATCCTGACATGACCCTCCAGCATGACAATGCCACCAGCCATACTGCTCGTTCTGTGCGTGATTTCCTGCAAGACAGGAATGTCAGGGTTCTGGCATGGCCAGCGAAGAGCCCGGATCTCAATCTCATTGAGAACGTCTGGGACCTGTTGGATCGGAGGGTGAGGCCTAGGGCCATTCCCCCCAGAAATGTCCGGAAACTTGCAGGTGCCTTGGTGGAAGAGTGGGGTAACATCTCACAGCAAGAACTGGCAAATCTGGTGCAGTCCATGAGGAGGAGATGCACTGCAGTACTTAATGCAGCTGGTGGCCACACCAGATACTGACTGTTCCTTTTGATTTTGACACCCCTTTTGTTCAGGGACACATTTTTCCATTTCTGTTAGTCACATGTATGTGGAACTTGTTCAGTTTATGTCTGTTGTTGAATCTTGTTATGTTCATACAAACATTTACACATGTTAAGTTTGCTGAAAATAAACGCAGTTGACAGTGAGAGGAAGTTTATTTTATCTGAATGCTTCTTGTACTTGATGTATTATTTTTAGTATGTTATATATTTACAATGTTGCTTATTTTATTATTATGACACCATTGCACTGTGTGAGAAGCCTGCAAGTACATGACTATACAATTAGATTTGACTGGATTTGATTTGTAGTCACTAGTGGTGTCACGATCGTCGAACACAGAGGACCAAGGCGCAGTGTGGAATGCGAACATACTTTTGTTCGTGTGATCATTTAAAATAAAACAACAAAACGATACGTGACGTCCTTGGCAATAGACACTAACCAAACACGGAACAAGATCCCACAAACACTGTGGCAAAACAGGCTACCTAAGTATGGTTCCCAATCAGAGACAACAAGCAACAGCTGATTCACGTTGCCTCTGATTGAGAACCACACCGGCCAACATAGAAACAAATGAACTAGATAAACAACCTAGCACACAAAACACATAGAAACAACCCACCCTGGCTCAACATAACAGAGTCCCAGAGCCAGGGCGTGACAGTACCCCCCCCCCCCCCCCCCCCCCAAAGGCGCGGACTGCGACCGCGCAAAACACAAACCGAACAGGGGAGGGCCGGGTGGGCATTCCTCCTCGGAGGCGGTTCCGGCTCCGGGCTTGACCCCCACCCTCCAACAAACCCCCCATAGCGCCCCTGGTCCGGTCTGGCCCTGCTGGCTGGATCTGGACTGGACATCGGTGGAGCGGATCGCTCAGGCTCCGATGTGGAGCAGCTAACCGGTACCTGACCAGGCACCGGTGAGCCAGGCACAGGCTGTGCCGGACTGACGACGCGCACCACAGGTTTGGTGCGGGGAGCAGGAACAGGCCGGACCGGGCTGACGAAGCGCACCACTGGCTTGGTGCGGGGAGCAGGAACAGGCCGGACCGGGCTGACGACGCGCACCACAGGCTTGGTGCGGGGAGCAGGGACGGGCTGAACCGGGCTGACGAAGCGCACCACTGGCTTGGTGCGGGGAGCAGGAACGGACCAAAACGGGCTGACGACGCGCACCACTGGCTTGGTGCGGGAAGCAGGAACGGGCCGAACCGGGCTGGCGACGCGCACCTCTGGCTTGGTGCGAGGGGCAGGAACAGGCCGGACCCGGCTGGCGACGCACACCACAGGCTTGGTGCGAGGGGCAGGAACATGCCGGACCGGGCTGGCGACGCGCACCACAGGCTCGGTGCGAGGGACAGGAACAAGCCGGACTGTACTGGGGACACACACCACTGGCCCTACGCGGGGATCAGGAACGGGCCGGGCCGGACCGGACTGGCAACACACCCCAGTACCTCTCGCCGTGCCTCTACATTCTCCTTCCGCCTGGTGACCAGTGACTCCCGTAACCTGGCAGCCTCCTTTGCCAACCCGCTGAACCACTCTATCCCGGCCTCCTGCTGCCCCGTCGTCCACGGCGTGAGCCCCCCCCTAAAAATGTTCTGGGCGTCTCTCCTCCCCGTGGGCCAGGCCTCCATGGCTCTCGCCAGACTCACGCTCCTCTGCTCCCAAGTCCAGCCTCTCTCCTCCTCCCGCGGCTTGACCCAGTCGATTATCTGATATTTTCACACACAATATTTTAACAGTTATTTTCCAAATGAACATGGAATCCAATGCACCTTGAATAATAAAAAGCAATAAATATATAAATAAGTGGCGATAAGGAGTAGGCATGCCGCTGGCTTGATGCTGAAAAAGTGTCTTGCGTCAGACTAGCAGCTGTAGTGTCGCCGGCCAGGAGAAGTGCGAGGGTGGGTGCTTGAGGAAAACGGCACGTGAACAGCAGGAGCACAGCTGCCGCTTGACAAAAGCCGGCCTCCGGATTGCTCTTTGCTAACAGAGTTGTGACTGAATATACACTACAGGTCCAAAGTTTTAGAACACCTACTCATTCAAGGGTTTTTCTTTATTTTTACTATTTTCTACATTGTAGAATAATAGTGAAGACATCAAAACTATGAAATAACACATATTGAATCATGTAGTAACCAAAAAAGTGTTAAACAAATCAAAATATATTTTATATTTGAGATTCTTCAAATAGCCACCCTTTGCCTTAATGACAGCTTTGCACACTCTTGACATTCTCTCAACCAGCTTCACCTGGAATGCTTTTCCAACAGTCTTGAAGGAGTTCCCACATATGCTGAGCACTTGTTGTCTGCTTTTCCTTCACTCTGCGGTCCGACTCATCCCAAACCATCTCAATTGGGTTGAGGTCAGGTGATTGTGGAGGCCAGGTCATCTGATGCAGCACTCAATCACTCTCCTTCTTGGTAAAATAGCCCTTACACACCCTGGAGGTGTGTTGGGTCATTGTCCTGTTGAAAAACAAATGATAGTCCCACTAAGCCCAAACCAGATGGGATAGCGTATCGCTGCAGAGTGCTGTGGTAGCCATGCTGGTTAAGTGTGCCTTGAATTCTAAATAAATCACAGACAGTGTCACCAGCAAAGCACACCCAAACCATAACACCTCCTCCTCCATGCTTTACGGTGGGAAATGCACATGCAGAGATCATCTGTTCACCCACACCGCGTCTCACAAAGACACGGCGGTTGGAACCAAAAATCGCCAATTTGGACTCCAGACCAAAGGAAAAATGTCCACCGGTCTAATTGCTCGTGTTTCTTGGCCCAAGCAAGTCTCTTCTTCTTATTGGTGTCCTTTAGTAGTGGTTTCTTTGTAGCAATTCGACCATGAAGGCCTGATTCACAGTCTCCTCTGAACAGTTGATGTTGAGATGTATCTGTTTCTTGAACTCTGTGAAGCATTTATTTGGGCTGCAATTTCTGAGGCTGGTAACTCTAATGAACTTATCCTCTGCAGCAGAGGTAACTCTGGGTCTTCCATTCCTGTGGCGATCCTCATGAGAGCCAGTTTCATCATAGCGCTTGATGGTTTTTGCGACTGCACTTGAAGAAACTTTCAAAGCTCTTGAAATGTTCCGTATTGACTGACCTTCATGTCTTAAAGTAATGATGGACTGTTGTTTCTCTTTGCTTATTAGAGCTGGCTTGCCATGATATGGACTTGGTCTTTTACCAAATAGGGCTATCTTCTGTATACGCCCCTACCTTGTCACAACACAACTGATTGGCTCAAACGCATTTTGAAGAAAATACATTCCACAAATTAACTTTTAAGATGGCACACCTGTTAATTGAAATGCATTACTACCTCATGAAGCTGGTTGAGAGAATGCCAAGAGTGTGCAAAGCTGTCATCAAGGGTGGCTATTTGAAGAATCTCAAATATAACATATATTTTGATTTGTTTAACACTTTTTTGGTTCCTACATGATTGTGTGTTATTTCATAGTTTTGATGTCTTCACTATTATTCTACAATGTAGAAAATAGTAAAAATAAAGAAAAACCTTTGAATGAGTAGGTGTTCTAAAACTGTTGACCAGTAGTGTATTTCTCTGTAAAACAACGTTAGATCCAGTCTATGATATTAGCCAGAAGGCTCTGGTGATGCTAGTTAGCTAACAAGTCAAGTCTATGGAAGAGGCTAGCTAGCTAGCTAGCATCAGCTTTGTAGTGGTTATACTATGTTGAAACACTCGTTTTCAAATTTTCTAAAATGTTTTCCACAAGCGTGTTGCTGTAGCTTTCAAATTATGTGAATGTAATTGAGCAATTTTAACGAATTTAAACAATATTTAACGAAATCTCCTCCCTGTTGGCAATGCCTGACAACGCACCGGAAACGGCTTCCCAGGTATGAAGTGCGCTTGGAACGTTCAAGCGTGGAATGTGCATTGAGGAAATTGCACCCTTGTCTTTACATGTCCTAATAATTAGAAAGATTGCTCAGAAAACCAGGTGTTTTAATCGGCGTATGCTTACTTCGATTATGACTTTACGATTATTAAAATCAGCAGAGTAAGGTGTTTACATGACTAATGACATACTCGGCCTTCTGCCATAATCTGTTTAATATCGAATTATTGGTGTATCGTTTCATGAACATTGTGCAGTACTGTACTCGGCCTCTAGGTTGTGTCATTGATTCACATTAGGTCCTTAGGTGCACATTGCTTTAATACGGAGGCTCAGAAGCTGTCAAAATGGCTACGACAATGTCCTGGGGATCATATCTCCTCATTCATTTAGTAATATTTTCATGGTATGTCTTTACGTTATCGGCGAATTGCTCATTGAAAAGCACAGAGATACAACCAGGAGCTAAAACATTTGGAGGCCGCTGGAAATATCTGACTTTCCTCAATCTGGTAAATGTGCTTGGTTGTGACATCGATCTGGTAAATGTGCTTGGTTGTGACATCGAGGGCGATGCAAACGAAATGTAATTGGATAAATGGGACCTGTACAGTAGTAGGCAAAAAACCGACACTGTATGTTAGAAATCAGTTCCACATCCTCGTCTGCATTACATCCCTTTTGAACTACCTGTGGCCTCAAGACAAGTTAGACAATGATTAATTAACTGCTTTATTTATATAGCTAGCCATAGTGGTCAGAGTTGCCTAACCATTTTTGGGTCATTATTCCTCAGGTTTTGCAGACGGTGTTCTTCGGACTCGTTGTTTTGATTGACATCATCCACCTGATATTGCCATCCAAAAGTTTGAGATGTGGTGTACCTCTCCTCCTAGTGAAATTAAGAGACACCATTTTCACTATTTTGGCTTTTCCTATTGGGACAGTAAGTGCCTTTTTATTTCTACATGTATTTTTCTGTGTGCGCATATTATACGTGTATAGGCTACATGTATTACTGATAACATGCTTTGTATTGGACATAATATGTCCCCTTTTCTCTCCTGTTCTCCCCAGTTTGTGTTCTTGTCCTTCTGGTCGATATATCACTACGACAGAGAGCTGGTCTATCCTAAATTTCTAGATGACATTATTCCTAGCTGGTTGAACCATGCTCTGGTAAGCGCACAATCATGAGCACATGCTGGACTTTGTACTAAAGTGATCCCAATGTATTCAATTAAAGATGGGGCTTTAACCAATTGGCTGTGCTGCTCAGCGTGGCTTTGTATCACATGGCTCTTAGAGGTCGTGCTAGAAATTCAAGGAAATCATTTTTTTAATAGGATCATACTCAGATTCACATAGCTTTGTGTCTCCTATGATCATTCTATTATGGATGCCAGTCACACAGCAGTTTGGTGTTCCCAGTATTTCTCAACCAACTGAGCCATCAAGACCACATTTCAGAGCTACACAAGCTACATTAGGAATCTGTAGGGGCATAATGGACACTCCTCTCACTCTTAATGGCCTCTCCACTACACCTTTACAGTACATACTTGGTCAGTTTTACAAGTTGACAGTAGCATACCTTGTCAGAACTGGTTTTCACCAGTTGCGAGCTGTACAACAGTCTAACAGACACTTGCTGTAGATGTTTCACAACAGGTAGTAATGATTACACAAAAGCCTGACCTCTTCCTCCATTCCCATTATTTCCCAATCTATTCCAGGGGGTGCTTATTTTTTGTTCTGGCCCAACACTAACATGTTATACCCTTGTTTATGTGGCCACAATGCATTGACACATGCAATGGTCTATTGGGCTACATATTTGTTACACATGGGGCTATGATGTTACGGTTGTTTTCATTAATTCAGTCATTTATTTTCCCTCTGTTTGCAGCACACTGTCATCCTGCCCTTGGCACTGTTGCAGATGTATATTCAGCCTCATAGATATGGCAGCAAGATGAGAGGCATCCTAGGTCTGGCCTTCTTTTCTGCTGTGTATCTGGGATGGTAAGCAAGGTTATATCAATCACATTGTTGAGTTGTGGTTTGGTGAAACATTTTATGTTTCTTCAAGTCTCCTTTGTCTCTCTCACTCGTCCCCTCTCCTTTCCTTGATTGAATGTTATGATACTTTTACAACATTTTGAAATTTTCCTAGAACAACCCTATTTCAATCCTCCATCCCCCCATCTTAGGGTTCTGTGGGTGCACCATGCGGCTGGTATCTGGGTCTACCCCATTATGGAGCGCCTGAGTCCCGTGGGCCTGGTAATATTCCTGGGGGTGGCTTGCATCACCATGGCCCCCCTCTACCTGCTGGGGGAGAAACTCAACCACAAGATCTGGAGGAGCACTGCAGGATCTGCAGGTGGGACCACTCTCACACTGTATGACAGGGAATAACCAGGAATAACTGCACACAGTTTAGATGCCCCCACCATTATAATGTAGCAGTGTTTCTCTTCTAGAGTGCCACAAGGCCTCTGAATTTGATTTGGCAGTTTGGCAGAGGAGAAGTGTACCTTTGTTAGTTAAGCAGTAATGCACGAGGCCATGTGTTATGACATTTTTTTCATGGCTGTGACGTGGTCATAGACAACCATAGCCATGATACAAATGTCATAACACATGGTTTTGGGTGTATAATTACTTTTATACAACGGGTTACCAGCATTAAAAAGCAAGATTCTTTCCCAAACCACAAAACGTGATGGTACATTCACTAAACTGGTTGTCAAGTGCAATTTTAGGTGTTCTCTGGTCGTTAGTTATTAGTATTGACTGCCATGTAAAGCAAAACTACCCAGAACTTTGCAGGTTGTTATGGCAAACAAAAATTGTTGCTATAGAGGCACTGTCTTTCCCCCTTGCTAGCTAGCCAATTACACAGCTAACACAATCCCTTCAGACTGAAGCTGGGAAGACGGCAAACTAGCTGCGTTTCGTTTCATTTGACCTGTTTTTCTATTGACATTTCTTTGTATATATCCATAAAGATTATGCTGATTCATGATTTTGACTGGCTGAGAAAAGCTGTCTGTCTTGTCCCGACTCGTTCATATTATGGGACACAATGGAGATCGAATTTCAATATTGCAACAATGTTGCACATGTTGGAGATAATGTCTAGATGCTTTTTACAGTGGAGATTTTTGTTGATGAATTGCATGGCTGGGCAGATGAGACAGTTGATCTGTAAAAGTAGTAGCAGTGCGTTGCTAGGTAACGACAAACAATGGCACTTTTTATGAATGTACTGGGCATGTCTATGTTGTCTATATTATCGGCAGCATAGGCTCTAATAATGGGAATTACAAACCAACCATTGTATAATTGTTCATTAACTACTACTACTCTCGTTCTCTCTGTCGCTCTCTCTAAAAGGACCTCAGAAGAAAAAGAAGAAGTAAGAGTGTGCTGGCATGTAAGCTGAGCGCCACAGAGGGGACCAGAGAGGCCTATATGATGATATCACACGAGGACAGACAGACAAACTGACAGACAGGACACAGCACCCCCAGCACTGATCACCTCAACCAGAAGAGACTGGTGGATCTCTTGTTGGAGGTAGAAGTTGCCCCAAACCACTGACCTAGAATCAGATAACCTTATCCTCAGTCCTAATTTCAACCATTAAGATGAAAAAAAAGTATATTATTCTGATCCTTTATCAGCAGTTAGAGGCAACTTGTACCTGCTCCGTATCACTCAGGCAGATCTCAGGCAGTGGGCATAATGTGCTTCTATGGTCAGGCCAAATTATTTAAAGATTAAATTCAATAATTAGACTTAATTTACTCCACAAGGGGATATTGTGCTACGTGTCACAGTGAGGTAACAGCTCAATATAAAACGTAATATTAAGTTGATCTTAATTGGTTGTGTTAACCCACATTTTTCTCTCACCCTCCGTGAAGTAGACTTGCACTTACAGTAGAATAATACTATAGTATATACAACGCTATGGATCTCTCTCATTTTGTGATGCTATTTCCTTTATCATGATGCTGTTTCACTTGATACTGTACTGTTGGTTGTGAAAGGGACAGTTCCTTATGTGCACTTGTTATTTTACCCTTTGTATTCATGCGTATATGCTCACTTTTAGATTACTATATAATTCCTAATGTAACTTGGAGGGAAGTTAGACCTTGATGATGAAATTAAATTATTTGAAATATATACATTGATGTGACTCCCTTTTATTAGGTGAAATATTCAACACATTGCAATCTGAGCTGCTTTATGACCAAGGTGAGGATTCATTCTATTGTACTGCGCTGGAATCTTTGCCCATCACTGCCATTTGTAGCCAGGTGATGGAGCCATCAGGTCAACGTTTTCTCCTCTTCAGGCAACCAGGGTAAACCTTGTATATGGCAAATATCCCCACCTGTAGGCTATCGGAGGGTAGAATGGAGCTACTACCATTTTGTTTAAGTAAAGCCTTGTTCACACTGCAGGCCTTAATGCTCATCAGTTTTGTTTTTTAAATCTGTTTTGGACTACTGACTGTCCAAACAGCAAGTTACAAGTGACCAAATCAGGTTTGTGTGTGTTCAGACAGCAGTCATTTGCTGACATGGCTACGCTAGTTGTCATAGTAATGGCAGGTGTGTGCACAGTGGTGTAGGCTGATTGGTGGTTTTGCACATGCTTTCTATCACTCAGAAGTTATGTAGCAAGCAAAGGTGACAACAATGCCTGCCATAGACGTTTCCAGTTGCGTAGAATTTTCAAAATCATAGTGTAAGAACACTTTTAAAGCCTCAAAGGATAAGATGATCGAAATTTCAAAACAAATCCTTGTTGGCTAGCCACAGCAGTCAACTAGCTAGCTAGGTAGCTGTTTAGCTTTCTAGCACATTCACTAATTTGTTTGTAAATAATTAACAAGCTAGTTAGCTACCACATGTTCTTGTAAAACTGTCAACCGAGTAGCTAGCAAGCAACAAAATATGCCAAATAACAAGTCTAAAAACCACTTGAGGGCAAATAAATCAGATTTGACTGTTCAGACAAGTCACATTACCAGGAATCTGATTTGTATCTGATTTCAAACCACCTACGAAGGTGTTTTGAAATGTGACTTGAAATATCAGAGTCCATGTGCTTTTTGGCTGTTCAGACTGCAGGAAAAAGAAAAAGATTCAAATCGGATATGCAAATGAATTGGATTTGAGTCACTTCAAACTGCCAATGTGAACACGGCTTTAGTAGCCTTGTCTGAGCCAGACTGGCCCATAGGAAAGGTTCCTGTTCATGTAAAGCGAGGCAGCTTGATGTACAAGTTTACCACCTGGACAGGGCGCTATTGTGTCGCAGGGCCTTAAAGGGGCATCATTTTGATTTCTTTGGTATGACTCAACCGGGGATCGAATCCCCAACCATCTAAGGGTGGACACTAACCACAAGGCGACTAAACTGGTATTACCATTTTGTTTACCTACCAAAACTTTCAGATTAAATGAAGTGTCTAGCGGTAGGGACTATAAATTGTTTCTAGATGTTCATTTAGTTAGTGTCTATCCCTGGTTAGGCCTTCCTGGGCAGCTGTCCACACACTATGATCTCACTCATCAGGCCTGGGTAATCTTCTCAACAGCATTCTCTCACCCAGAGGTCATGTATCACCCTCTGTTATGTAAGACTGTGTAAGACTCCTACACAATTAGATATCTGTACAAAAGAGTGTACGACTAAGCAGAAAAGTAGTGGTATTTGGTCACACTTTAAATGAGGTGATGTGTAATGGCAGTCCTTGTTCCACTGTGGATGAATGAATGAACACCTCACAATCCTATTACAGCAATTACAATGTTGTTACTAGAGCAATTACAATTTAACTACACAAGAAAAATCTACATGTAAAGTGTTACCAAGTAAAAGGTGCATTGTGTCCCCAGAGGATCCAACAAGGCTGAAATACTAAGCTTAGATAATATCTAAGATCCTTCTGATCAATTGAGCCTCCTGATCCTGTCACACATTCATCAATAATTTGTTGTGAAAGCCATTGTTGGCAACACATTCTACCATACCAGAAGGTTCTACTTTACCAGAGGGACGTCAAGGAGACTGGAGGTAACACTTTCTCTTCCAATTAAGAAGACCCAATTACCATTAATTGTTGCGTCGTTAGAGTGGCCTGAGATGCATCAGCGTCGTATCTTTTCCTTCTTTCCTTCTTAGTGGATGTATACATAATCAGCTTTCACATACCTCAGGTAAGCCAATCAGGAGCTAACTTGACAGTGCTTCCTATGTCATTCAGGCTACTCTGCAGAATCTGAGACTGGATGTCACAGTTTATGATAGCTGCTTCACTTAGGTTGTTATTTACATCAACAAACAACCAAATGTACTGTAACTTGTGTAGGATTGATATACAGTACAGCATAGCACCCTGAATGACTCCATGAGATTACAGTTAATCTTTCGGTATTGTAGTGGCAGAGCATTTTACATACAACCTTTTCCATAGAGTGGACAACAGGGCAAGAGCAAAAAGAGACAGAACAATGGTCAATCATTCCTTGTATACATCTGGCCCTTCATTGGACACTGTGTTAACAAACCTCCAAACGAGCTTCAATGCCATACAACACTCCTTCCGTGGCCTCCAACTGCTCTTAAACGCTAGTAAAACTAGATGCATGCTGTTCAATCGAACGCTGCTTGCACCCGCCCGCCCGACTAGAATCACTACCCTCGGCGGGTCTGACTTAGAATATGTGGACAACTACAAATACCTAGGTGTCTGGTTAGACCGTAAACTCTCCTTCCAGACTCACATTAAGCATCTCCAATCCAAAGTTAAATCTAGAATCGGCATCCTATTTCGCAACAAAGCCTCCTTCACTCATGCTGCTAAACATGCCCTCGTAAAACTGACTATCCTACCGATCCTTGACTTCGGTGATGTCATTTACAAAATAGCTTCCAACACTCTACTCAGCAAATTGGATGTAGTCTATCACAGTGCCATCAGTTTCACCAACACAGTGCCAACATTCACCAAAGCCCCATATACTACCCACCATTGTGACCTGTACGCTCTCGTTGGCTGGCCCTCACTACATATTCATAGCCAAATCCACTGGCTCCAGGCCATCTATAAATCACTTCTAGGCAAATCCCCGCCTTATCTTAGCTCATTGGTCACCATAGCAACACCCACCCGTAGTATGCGCTCCAGTAGGTATATCTCACTGGTCATCCCCAAAGCCAACACCTCCTTTGGTCGCCATTCCTTCCAGTTCTCTGCTGCAAATGACTGGAATGAACTGCAAAAATCTATAAAGCTGGAGACACTTATCTCCCTCACTATCTTTAAGCATCAGTTGTCAGAGCAGCTTACCGATCACTGCACCTGTACACAGCCCATCTCTAATTAGCCCACCCAACTACCTCATCCCCATATTGTTATTTACATTGTTATTTATTTTGCTCATTTGCACCCCAGTATCTCTATTTGAACATCATCTTCTGCACATCTATCACTCCAGTGTTAATACTAAATTATAATTGTAATTATTTTGCACTATGGCCTATTTATTGCCTTACGTCCATAACTTACTACATTTGCACACACTGTATATAGATTTTCTATTGTGTTATTGACTGTACGTTTTGTTTATTCCATATGTAACTCTGTGTTGTTGTTGTTTTTACCGCACTGCTTTGCTTTATCTTGGCCAGGTCGCAGTTGTAAATGAGAACTTGTTCTCAACTGGCTTACCTGGTTAAATAAAGGTGAAATAAATAACAAATAAAAAAAATACAAAAATACAATTTGACCTGTTTGTGTTTGAAATCAGTTGTTGACCAACCACAGACCAAATCAGAAGTAATACAACTATGATAGCCAATCAGATCAAACCAGCTAACATTCTCTAGGAAGGGGGTCACACATTAGCGTGATGGCCTAGGGGGAGGTCTGAGTACAATAGAGAGGTTTACTCTGAACAGAATACAGATGGCCACAGACATACAGCATATTAAACATCACATATCCATATAGATGGCATCAAAGTACTCAGAATAACACTATTGCACCCATGTTTGGTATCTAACACACATTTCAGTAGTCAGTCCTCTGGAGACTGTAAGGCAGAGATGAATTTTGTCCTCTCAATGGGGAAAGGGTTGACTGGCCATTGTTTGGGGGAATTTGCCATTCAGACTGACGTGCCATTGGATGTACTGATTTCTGATCACATGATACCTCTGGCTGATTGATCCGGAGCCAGTAATGAAATAATGTCAAACAAATGTTGTTATCTCAGTGTGGTTATCAACTGAAGGGAGTTCAAACAGATGGTTAGAGATGATCAGTCATTTTTGCACTACTGTGAGGTGAAGTGGCAACAGCAGCCTTTGCCTCTTGATCCTACTTCTACAGTAATGAGATTAGTGGGTTCATCCGGGGGGGAGGAGTCAGGAATAGATCTAGGTGCAGTACATGTTTTATGAATAAGGAGGAGTGAGGAGGAGCGTCCAGTGAGGTGTGTTACCATTCAGAGCCATGCTACGGATGAACATACACCTCTGATGGTCCTCCTTTCTCTGACACTTCACAATGGAGGCCAGGCCAGGATCCTGTAGTCTTATGGCTGAAGCAAAATGCCTGTTCCTGGTGAGATGAATGGCGCTGGCAGTCCAGAGATGAGCATTAAGGATGTAGTGGATGGTGTCGTTGCCACACCCTAATTTACAGAGACAATCTGGACTGAATTAACTGAAGACCCGAAGAGGTGCAGGACTATCAAAGCTGAGAAAGAAAGCATTTGAAGACATTGCTGTGTCTGTGGTCCAACGTGGGCATGTGGAGTCATTTTATGTGGATGTCTGAAGATGCTGACGATCACTAACTCCACCCTCTTTTTGCTGCAGATAAACGTGCTGAGGATACTTTATTGCGAGGTTGCTGTTACTTTGTTTTCTATTATTGTAGCTTGGTTAATCTTGAGGAATAATATTCTTCCTAAATAGCAACCACGTTGGTGTGATGTAGGTAGGCACTGTCTAGCCATGTTCCAATTCCGAAATGGATTATTACATTATGGATTATAATGGTTGATGTCAACTAGGTAATCTTGGATTTTCACCTTTGACAGCTGACACTGCTCTCTGATTATGTGTGTACACTATAAAAAACGTAACTTGTTTTTACAGTAACTTATCTGTAAATGACTGTAAAAAAAAAAAAAAGTACAGTATGTTACCGTACATTCCAAATAAACTTTGGTTTAACAGTACATTACTGTAAAGAAGTGCTTTCTTTTGATTTTACGGTAACATACTGTACTTGTTTTTACAGTAATTTACAGGTAACTGCTGCCAGTATGGTTTTTACAATGTAGCCTCATAAAACTGATCAATATAAGGACCTACCACACTATTTCAGTATAATGAAATGTAAATGGGGTTTTATCTTAGACTAACGTGAGTGTGTGTCTCAAGGCACTGCCATGGCAGTGGAGGTCTGCTTGAGTATTCAGTCATACAACAATCCATCCTCAGTGGAGTCCCCTACCCCTTCATGGAGTCAGGTATACATACACTATATCACTACTCACATTTCTAACATAAAGGATAATGTAGTACTGTTAACTAATATAATTGATCCGTCTAAATGAAGAGAGTTTGAACAGGGTGTTGCGTTGCTATTTTGACTGTAATACTGTTAAGCCTGGTGGAGTGTGCCAGACGACAGATTAGCTTGCTGTAGATGGCACACTACCTGCTGAACATTTCATAGTTAAGCTTGACACTACTTCTTTACATTGGGAACACCTCACAGTTAAGCTTGACACTACTTCTTTATATTGGGAACACCTCATAGTTAAGTTTGACACTACTTCTTTACATTGGGAACACCTTATAGTTAAGCTTGACACTACTTCTTTACGATGTGAACACCTCAATTAAGCTTGACACTACTTCTTTACATTGGGAACACCTCATAGTTAACCTTGACACTTCTTCTTTACATTGGGAACACCTTATAGTTAAGCTTGACACTACTTCTTTACAATGTGAACACCTCAGTTAAGCTTGACACACCACTCATGTCTCCTTTCAAACCCCCCAACCCTCCATGTGTTACCCCAGTCAGGACACCCCAGTCGAAGTACACGTTGGTGGGTGAGGTGATACGTCACATCATCCCTGGACCCACACAATGCTCCATAGGGTGTGGAGGTCAAAACTGCAAGTATGAGAACCCTGACCGCTGGAGCAAGGACATGCAAGCCATCAAAGGCCTCTACTCCTCTTGGTAGGAATCAGAAAGACTCTATAAAAATGTGTATGTTGAATGTAAGTGGATTATACCCATAAGTTTAATGCAGAAACATGTCTTTCCTTTCAGGGTCACGGAAAACCTACTTGCCATGGCCAGACCATCTACGGTATTAATAGAAAAGTACAACATTATTGACCAATTTAAAAGGTAACACTATATTTTATTTCAGGATTTGCTGTCCTCATAAGTCAATTCAATACACCTAGTATAGATCAAATCAATTAATTGATGCCTAATTAATTGTTTGTGTGTGTGTGTGTGCCTGCGTGTGTGTGTGTGTGTGTGTGTAGATGTGGCCTGAAGACAGTGATAAACCTGCAGAGACCTGGGGAACACGCCAGCTGTGGTCCCAATGCACTGGAACCAGAGAGTGGATTCTCCTACCGACCTGAGGTCTTCATGGAGAACAACAGTAAGTCTATGACAGTTCCTCTACAAATGTACTGTGGGAATGGTTAAATATTGACTGTCCTTACATTCCAGTATATTTCTACAACTTTGGTTGGAATGACTACGGGGTGGCCTCCCTCACATCTATCCTGGACATGGTGAAGGTCATGTCCTTTGCGATGCAGGAGGGGAAAATGGCTGTCCACTGTCATGCTGGTCTGGGAAGAACAGGTAATGTATAGGACAAAAAAGTGTTATTATTAATCAAATGATTATGCTTTGTGGTCACATGACTGACCCTCTCACTGATGGTTTTGCCATTGTCTTCCATCAGGCGTGTTGTTAGCGTGTTACCTGGTTTTCACCACCAGGATGACCGCTGACCAGGCCATCGTGTTTGTACGTTCCCAACGACCCAACTCCATCCAGACCAGAGGTCAGCTGTATTGTGTGCGGGAGTTTGCCCAGTTCCTTGTCCCTGTCAGGAGTATTTTCTCCTGCACTGAGCCCAGGACTAACCCCATCACCCTGTCCCAGTTCCTGACCCGCCAGGGACACATGCTGCATGGCTATGAGCGCCGGGAGCTCAGGCACCTGCCCAAGATCATCCAGGTGATCTGCAAGCTGTTGTTGGACATCGCTGAGAACCGGCAGGTCATCGAGGAGGATATGCTGGACGTCTCTGACATGACGGCCGAGGAGGAGATGGAGTTTGAGCGCTATCGCGACTTTGGATTCACCAAGGGCAGCTTCGGGGGAGGCGGTATGGGAGGGCAGCCCCGTTTACCGGGACCCCCAACCAAACCCCGGCACGCCAACGAACCGCCCCTGTTCTACCACCGCAAGAGCCTGAGCTACAGCGAGTCAGACCTGCGGAGGCTGGGCTCTGAGCTCAACCTGCCGACCCTACCTTTCTCTAACTCGCTGTCCGCTTGCAACGTGTCTGTGGCCTGTTCTCCCTCCCTGAACTCCCTGCCTAGGACCCCGGCCACAGGCAGCTCCCAAGATGGATCCCTCTGGGAGCAGAAGAGCCTTGCGGAGGGATCACCGCTCCTAAAGAAGACACAGAAAGCCTGCCAGCGCAGCGAGTCCGAGTGCAACCCCGTGAAGAAAGGGTATGGCGGCATGTTGTTTAGGTGGAAGGAGGAGCAGAGGGACAAGTTAGCCAACAATGGGGATGCGTCCCAGGTGTCTCAGATAGAGGAGTCAGAGGTGCCCTTCATCACCATCCAGACAGAGCTGTCCAAGGAGGCCAGGCGGCTGCTGGTGGCCCAGGCTCTGGCTGTGGATCTGGAGCTGGATGGAGAGGAGGAGCACAGGGAGAGACTACAAGCCTGGCAGGTAGAAACTTCATATTAAATCCCATTGTTTTTTAAATACTGTATCTACCTTTTGGAATACTGTACATAAAATATATTGAAATAGTCTAGTCAGACGTGTGGTGATAGTAATACAGTAGCATAGCACAATTGACAAATCCTGTTGATCTGAACAATATCTGACTACTTTTGTACATTAGGGAAGACAAAGGAAATTCATAGAGGTTTGACTTTCCATTTTGAATACTGGAGTGCCGTTAGATTATTAGCGCCACTACACCTAATGTTGGCTTGGGTGACACTGATTGTCTATTTTATGTGTTTTTGCAGTCAGAGTTGAACATGGGAGGGGCATGGGAGAGGCTGTGTACATTGGAGAAGGACCCGTTTGTGCTGTCTGGGCTGATGTGGACCTGGCTGGAGCAGCTGAAGGAGCCAGTCATCTCCATCAAGGATGTACAGAAACTGGACCATAACAACAGTGACCCGGCAAACCCAGAGGCTGTCTTCAATCCACTGGACCAGGTCAGCAGCACTTACTGTAGGCCATTACATTTACATTTGACATTTTTGTCACTTAGCAGACGCTCTTATCCAGAGCGACTTACAGTAGTGAGTGTATACTTTTTCATATTTGTTCGTACTGGTCCCCCGTGGGAATCGAACCCACAACCCTGGCATTGCAAGTGCCATGCTCTACCAACTGAGCCAAACAGGAGCCACATCAGTGCTTCTCACTCTGGACCCAATCCTACTGTACATGACAGATTTACAACAGAAAACTTGGAATAGCTCCATACTGTATGAAATGAATGTCTACTGACTACTTCTGTTCAGGTAACCCGCTCATTTGGGGCGGCAATAGCCTAGATGTTAGAGAGGCCAACCAGCAGCTGGAAGGTTGCTGGTTCGAGCCTTGGGCCAGGCAACACAAAATGGGAATGGAACTGTCAGCTAAAAGGCTGCTGCTCTCTGATCCCATGTACCATCTCCTGCTGTTGTGCAAGGCACTTAACACCCACAGTTGCTCTTCATTCAAGGATGCTTGTGTGTATATATATAAATATATATATATATATATATATAGATATATATATATATATATACATACAGTGGGGAGAACAAGTATTTGATACACTGCCGATTTTGCAGGTTTTCCTACTTACAAAGCATGTAGAGGTCTGTAATTTTTATCATAGGTACACTTAACTGTGAGAGACGGAATCTAAAACAAAAATCCAGAAAATCACATTGGTATGATTTTTAAGTAATGAATTTGCATTTTATTGCATGACATAAGTATTTGATCACCTACCAAACAGTAAGAATTCCGGCTCTCACAGACCTGTTAGTTTTTCTTTAAGAAGCCCTCCTGTTCTCCACTCATTACCTGTATTAACTGCACCTGTTTGAACTCGTTACCTGTATAAAAGACACCTGTCCACACACTCAATCAAACAGACTCCAACCTCTCCACAATGGCCAAGACCAGAAAGCTGTGTAAGGACATCAGGGATAAAATTGTAGACCTGCACAAGGCTGGGATGGGCTACAGGACAATAGGCAAGCAGCTTGGTGAGAAGGCAACAACTGTTGGCGCAATTATTAGAAAATGGAAGAAGTTCAAGATGACGGTCAATCACCCTCGGTCTGGGGCTCCATGCAAGATCTCACCTCGTGGGGCATCAATGATCATGAGGAAGGTGAGGGATCAGCCCAGAACTACACGGCAGGACCTGGTCAATGACCTGAAGAGAGCTGGGACCACAGTCTCAAAGAAAACCATTAGTAACACACTACGCCGTCATGGATTAAAATCCTGCAGCGCACGCAAGGTCCCCCTGCTCAAGCCAGCGCATGTCCAGGCCCGTCTGAAGTTTGCCAATGACCATCTGGATGATCCAGAGGAGGAATGGGAGAAGGTCATGTGGTCTGATGAGACAAAAATAGAGCTTTTTGGTCTAAACTCCACTCGCCGTGTTTGGAGGAAGAAGAAGGATGAGTACAACCCCAAGAACACCATCCCAACCGTGAAGCATGGAGGTGGAAACATCATTCTTTGGGGATGCTTTTCTGCAAAGGGGACAGGACGACTACACCGTATTGAGGGGAGGATGGATGGGGCCATGTATCGCGAGATCTTGGCCAACAACCTCCTTCCCTCAGTAAGAGCATTGAAGATGGGTCATGGCTGGGTCTTCCAGCATGACAACGACCCAAAACACACAGCCAGGGCAACTAAGGAGTGGCTCCATAAGAAGCATTCAAGGTCCTGGAGTGGCCTAGCCAGTCTCCAGACCTGAACCGAATAGAAAATCTTTGGAGGGAGCTGAAAGTCCGTATTGCCCAGCGACAGACCCGAAGCCTGAAGGATCTGGAGAAGGTCTGTATGGAGGAGTGGGCCAAAATCCCTGCTGCTGTGTGTGCAAACCTGGTCAAGACCTACAGGAAACTTATGATCTCTGGAATTGCAAACAAAGGTTCTGCTTTTCTGATGTATCAAATACTTATGTCATGCAATAAAATGCAAATTAATTACTTAAAAATCATACAATGTGATTTTCTGGATTTTTGTTTTAGATTCCGTCTCTCACAGTTGAAGTGTACCTATGATAAAAATTACAGACCTCTACATGCTTTGTAAGTAGGAAAATCTGCAAAATCGGCAGTGTATCAAATACTTGTTCTCCCCACTGTGTGTATATATATATATATATATATATATATATATATATATATATATATATATCTATCTATCTATCTGGGGGTGTTGTGAAAGGCAGAAGACACATTTTCGTTCTAACCATGGACAATAAAAAACGTATATTCTATTCAACCACATCCCCTCCAGGCTCCCAGGGAGATGTTGGTGTGCATTCTGGACTGTATGGCTCATGTTCTCACCATACCAGAGGAGGTGGAGTCTGCTTTCCTGGAGCGCACCATCAAGGCTTTTACAAAGGTAGAATACTAGATGATGTAGGGTTCTCCTTTTTAATTGCGGCACAGTTCAATTTTTTTTTAGCATTAGGTATCTCAACCGTTCTGACTCTCCACAGATGGGAAAAGGCTCAGCGGTGTATCCGGCCATGACAGAGATCCTCAGGCTGGTCCTACACGACATGAGGTTTATAGCCATAGAGGAGGATGAGCTACCAGATATGGCGCCCATCCCTACTGTGCTGATCTCATAAACCTGCTGTATTCTGTTCCAGACCATCCCTTGCTATATGAACACATATGTTGTGCCTTTCTGCGCAGTTTGGATAGTTTTGAATCTACTGTTTTCAATATTTTGTTATTGTACAGTAAGTGTATTGTATATGAAAGATCACTTTTCATTGATTACCTCAGTATTGTACAGTTCCAATGCAGCAGACCCAAGAAAATGCAGTTTATTTGAGAGTTTAAATTAAATTGACGGTTTGGTTGTGTTAAGCAGATCAAGGTAGAGTATTTGTTACAGTATATGCCCTAAAAACGTAGGTTATATTGAACATGTAACAGCCAACACAGGAATGTAAATACCTTAGCTCCACATAAAGCCAGCTCAGTTAATTCCTGTACAGAAATGTGTTATTACACAAAAATAAAGTATCCTTTCACAGTAAACTGCAATGTTTTTCCCCGTCATACTTGCATGTGCATGTTTCGCATAACATATAAACAAATCTGCGATAACTCTTGATTACAATGTCTATTCCATAAACAGAGGGTTTGGAAAGGCAAGGCACAACATCAGTAATTAAACTACTCATAAACATGCACAATGTCTGCTAAATGGCATATTATTTTTATTATTATTATTACAATGAATTTATGTGACTGATGCAAACTGCTGTAGTACCTGCGAAGTCCTCCTAGAGGGCAGTGTTGCTCAGGAGTTGAAAGAGTAGGCCTTCAGGACATCCTTCCCATCCACTGCTTCCACTGAGGCCACAATGGTTGAGTAATCACAGACCACATTACTGAACCCTCTGTCAACACAAGACATGAAATGTACATCAGTTCATCACTACAGTACATCAATCCAACTTTACATACAGAGCCAGAATGTACTATTTGTTTCCTTAATGGATGGAAATGTCTTTCTGTACCTGGACATGGAGTGAGAGCCTCCCAGTAAGTGGTATCGACTTTCCAGGGTGAGCCCTTTGTCTCTGTCAGTTTTCCAAGTCAGCACTCTTAAGGATAGGTCCCGAGAAGCAGTGACTACACGGAAACTATCCTGAAAGAAAACGCTCACTTTTAGGATAAATTTCCATGGACAGTCTTTCCCCGAAGCACCATATAAACTTAAACATAAATTCCCACACACTCTTACCACAAGATTTCTATCCCAATGGATATTCTCCTAAATAAGGGCCAAACTATTTTAAAATAAATCAAGGGGAAAATATCATTATCTAGAACACTGCAGTTTTCCCCATACTATGTATAGCGCTTTGAGCTCCAATAAATACATTCCAATCCGTAATTACTATCATCAGTAGTACATACGCACAATAAATATGAGTGAAAAGCATACCACACAAATAGAGCAGATAGGTTCAGTATGGTCCTTGAAGCTACAGATGAGTTCTCCTTTCACAGTATAGACCTTCAGCTCTCTGTGAGCAGCTATAACCAGAGTGCTGCTTCCCTTCCCCTCCAGAAGGATATCCGAGGTCCTGCCCTCAAATACCAACTCAAATTTCTCCACCTGCTCAACTGAAATAGGAGAACATCTGTGAAAGTTAGGCCAAACCTCAATTTCTAACATAACCACAAAAATACAACTGACAAAATGGCACATGGGGATAAGCTTGCTAACGTAACAGGTAATTAGAATCTAAATAGATGAAGATATTAAATGTCTCAACTTGACACTTTACCCTGGATCTCTGACTTGAATCGGGTCTTTTTTATGATGATGTCAAACACAGAGAGGACCTTGTTGTGATGCGTGTGTGAGTGGTCCTTGCAGTGGACCGTGGCCAGTCTTGCCGGCAGGGAGGGCAGGAAGGTAGCAGCACTGCAGCCTGAGACAGGCAGACACTGGCACAGAGGATCCTCCTCCTCAGAGGGACTTGTCACACTCTGACTGGACACCACCTGCCAGTCAAACAACACAATACACATTGTTGATTTCTATTTAATTTTAACAAAGATTAAACATTACTAACTTTCAGGACTTCTGAGATCCATGATAGTTCTTACAGACGAACATGTCAATTGTTACAATTACCTTTGGGCTCATATCCATATTCCCTTTAGTTCCAGCTAGGATCCATTTCTTGTCTGGCGATGCCAGGAGTAGGTTGACTTTGAATGTGTCACACACCACCAGACTGGACAGCTTTGACAGTGAGGGGCTAGACAGAGTATGGACAGAGCCTTGACTGGTCCCCACCTGGTGAAAATAAAAAAAATAATATATTATGTGTCAGTCAGATATTGATCTGGCAACCAACCAGACTTGTGTTTGGGTACTCACTGAGAGAAAAGAGCTGCCATCCATACTGTAGGTCAGCAAGGTGCACTGTGGGGATGCTGAGGAGTAGAAGGATATCTCCTGTCCACTCTGACCATCCCAGGCTTTGAGCAGCCCTGTGGAATCTGACGTGATGACCCCGCCCTGCCTGCCATCAGCTACCATCCCAGTCAGAGGACTCTGAACAGGGCTGCACCACAGCTGCACCCCCTGGTTAAAGGGGAAAAGGAAACACAATTTCCTAAGTGCTAACCGCAAATCCTTCTTTGTGTAGACCAGTAGACCATATAATATGGCTACTGAAGTGGGTGCTACACCTTGGTGGTGGGTAGGATGAGTAGCCTACATACAATGCAAAGTGCTCTGAAGCCTTGTAAATAAAGCCTCATAATAAGTATAAAAGGGCAGTATTGTTTTCACCTGCTGGACGTCCCAGGCACGGACTGTACCATCCAAGGATGAACTGCAGACAGTAGGGGTGCAGCTCCAGAAGTCAGAGAGCTGGAGAGAGTTCCCTGACAGGTACACACACCCAACCACCCTGCCTGGAAGATATAGATGTTGTAGACCATACAGCTGTCTAAATACTGCTTCCATAGACAGTTCCATCCTTTCTAAAGAAAGAGAAAGACTGTATGCTCACTTGTGTGTCCCCTCAGGCTTTTACAGGTGTAGTCCCCACCGGACCTGCCCTTGGTCATCTTCTGCTCCAGGTGAGAGCGACGCAGGAAGTAGCTCTTCCAAGCCTGCTTCCCATGTTCAGAGCCCAGCACAGCAATGTTACAGAAACCCCAACGCTGCAGACACATTTCTCTGCGGGCATAGATTAATAGCATTAATATACTGTTATTATTATTATTATTATTATAATATAGGTGTTAAATAGAATATACTTTAAATATGATGCAGCTGACCACATTGTCAAAAACATGCCAAGAAACAATGGTGAATAAGCTATGTAAATGTCTGGTGAATAAGCTATGCAAATGTTTGTGTGTGTGTGTGTCCCACCTACACTCCCGCCCTCGCCCATATCTAAACCAACCGCATCAAACCCACCCCTTCTCCCCACACAGTATATTATTCATTCTGAGATGGGTAAGTAAAACTGATCAGTGGATAAAATCCGTCAAACTCACCGCCACAACCAAGGTGTTTCGGCTGCTTCTTGCCATTCCTAGATAAAAAGGCAGAAGGTATGGGGTTGTTAAAATAGGCTATCACACCAGTACAGTTGTTGAAATAAATCTATCAACATATATTACAAACTAATAATAACATGATGTTTCAAAGTAAAGCAACCGCTTGACAAAAGAACAACAATATGTGGAACATTATAACAGAAAATAAAGAATATATTCAAAACTGTTTTACAGAACCTCAATTTCTACTTCCGCAAGTTTATTGTGACTCTCTTACCTTACAGACAATTGATGCTCGAATTAAATCATCTTCTTGAAAAAACGAGAAAATGTGAATCAGGCAATCATTAGTTAGGTAAGGATGATAATCCATTTATACTTTTTACAGCTGTGCTGTATTGCTGGCTGTGAAGAAGGGCTATAATTTCAGCGCAACATCAACATTTAGTCAACAATTTCTACATTGGCTACGGGGAGGCTGAAAGGACAAAAATAATTTCCGTTCTTCTTAATTTTTTCAATACTACCAATACTTATTTGTCTGTAGATGGCGCTATTATAAAGGGTACAAACGTCTCCAAAACAGAAACGCAAAGAGTAGACGCACTGCACACAAGATGAAGGAGAAGATGAAGGAGATTTCACAGCTAAGCAAATCATGTAGAAATGTTGTGTCAACATACTATATATAAAGGTGACCATTTGATGGCATTTTTTAATGGCAAGTAGGTTATGTGAACAATTTATCAAGTGAGTGCAATGAAATTTGATTCATTCAATTCAATTGGAGTTTTTTGCGCGGCAGTTCGAGTTACATGCGTGCATCAAGTACAGTATATTGCTTAGGCCTAGATTAGGTTCAAACCCATACAATGTATTTTTGAAGTAGGGGGAAAAAAATACAAAATAGACAGAAAATGTCAAATAGTTTTTGAAGTTACAGACTTCAAAGTATTATTCAATGATAATCATACGACTTCAGTGAAAATCATTAATTCTCATTATAATCTCACACAATATTGACAACCAGCACTATCCACTGCGTGTGTTGGTTTTTATTAGAACGTTAAGGCTGTAGGCCTATCAATTAATGAGCAGGTGAATTGACACAACTGGAATGGTTGTGGAGAGATTCAGCACAGGCAGGATTCCAGAGTAGGGCCCCATGCCATGACTTCTCTGAACACGCCCCAGATAGATGAGCCAGATAGCCTATATAGATCCTGCGGGTAGCAAAGAAACCGTGAGAAGGAGATAATCGCACCACAGCACTTGCTCATCCTCAGTTTTACCTGTGACACCTTAGCAATGATAAAACGGCACAGCAAAGGGGCCACGTAGGGGAGTTTACGGATAGTATTAGCTTACAGCTAAGACTAGCCTATTATATAAAATAATAGGCCTATCTATTGGGGATATTCGTTTGTACCGACTTGAAGTAACTTTGGATAACTAGGACAGTGACTATCGGAGAACATCGCTTTCTCTTACACACTGTATGAAGCTGAGAGTGGAAGCACCATGAGTCGGAAAACTAGACGCTGGATTTTTCGGGTTTTGCTTTGCCTTGGGATTGTCTATTTGAAAATCGGGTGAGTTTGTCATTGGCATGTTCATTAGGTAGCCCATGTTCCTAAATATCAGAATAGAAAACATAAGAGTAGCCTATAACAGAAAGATTCGGATGTCAAGTTTGTTTGAATAGACATAGCCTACATTTCTATAAATTAAACTGTATTTAAATTATTCTAATTATTCATCTAACTAAGCTATGTTCATTGCTTGTTTGACATTGACCCGTCATCAGTTCTGATAGTTTCATTATTCTGTTCTAAAAAGTATATAGAGTTTGAGTTTTTACAGTTAGAAACCACCTGACAAAAGGTTGATTCTGACCTCTTTGCCTGTCTATAGGCTACACATCAAATACATGAATTCCGGGTAAATGTATAAATTAGAGATGGCTTCAGATTTATCCTTCATATTTTTTAACACACTTGTATTTCACTCAAAGACAGGTTAATTGAGTTGAAGAGAAACCATGTCATCACCTCTTAAATATCTCTCGTATTTCTACAGCCCTTATTGTTTTATAACCTCCACTAGATACGGAAAACAATAAATGCGCGTTAAAATTGTATGAATGTAAACATGGTTTTCAAAGTCCTAAAGGCTATCTGGCAGTCAGTACATTCTCTCTAAATAACCCCAAAACTACAATATGCCATTGTTAGATGGATAAAAAAAATATGTCATTCAATGTCTAACTATTATACCCTTACAGTGGCTTTTCATCGGTGGTCGCGCTAGGTGCGAGTATAATCTGTAACAAGATTCCCGGTTTGGCTCCCAGACAGCGGATAATCTGTCAGAGTCGCCCGGATGCCATTATCGTCATCGGAGAGGGAGCACAAATGGGGATAAACGAGTGTCAGTTTCAGTTCAAAAATGGGCGCTGGAACTGCTCTGCGCTTGGAGAGAGGACGGTCTTCGGAAAAGAGTTGAAAGTGGGTATGTTGCAAATCAATTAAAGTTTGGTTAGAACATTTTGAAATGTAATTTCATCACTGAAAATGTCCCCGTGTTTATATAGGCCTGAAGGTTCATTGTGCGTCAATAGCGCACTGTGGCGCATGCAGCCAAATGGCCCGTATCTTTTTGAGAGCCTGCATATCTGTTCCAATGAGAGTTGACACAAATCGTTCCTGGCTTTTCAGAGTGTCATTTACGGATGACACATTACGTGTGCGTTGATAACATGGACAGACTTTAGAGAAAGGTTATTGCGGTTCATTTGAGAACATCATGCTGTGGCAATTACAATAGTTCGATTAGAGATTTAAAAACGTTTCCCAAAGGCTATATACTAGAAGTATCGACAGGGAACTTGTAACAGCATACAACTTTTCCCCAAAACGTAAATGCTCATGATTGGTGGACAGGCTGAAGCTGTGCAATTTACATCTCTAAAGTCTTACACTGGTCTTTCAAGATAGAGACAGCGTGTGAGAGAAAGGAGGGGAACTAAACGAGTCCAGAAGGTATCAGAAGCCAGCACAGTAACAAAGCTCTTGTGAACATTGACAGCCTGTCTTTTCAGGTCAGTGTAGTCTCCCGAGGCACATATTCACTGCTCTTTATCCTCTGTCACTGGGTGCTGTTGGCTCTCACTGTAAAGAAGGCGATCTTACCACGGGTATAAGTTACAATAGATGGAAAGTACAGTGGAATAAAAGCTTAAAATACTGCACTGGACATACACAGGGGAGGAATGAAAGAATGGAAAGGTTAAAATGAAGTACTGTAGCTACCTGGTTAGACAATAGGTTTCACAGCATTGATGGATGTCTTGGATGTCTTTGGGGACAGAGGGATGGCCTACAGTAGGTGCAGGTTCATGGCTGGTAGACTGGAAGCTGAACTTTTTGAAGAAACACTTTCAGTTTTGGTTTTTCTGCTTCAAAACGTTTCCATGTTGTGCCTATCACACATATCCTGAAGTTGTCTGAAGGACTTCTTGGGGTATTCCTCTGTGCATAATAATGCGTAATATTCTCACTATACTGACTGTACTGACTGTACTGACTGTAATGACTGTACAGTTACAGTTACTCTGAATAACACAACAGCTGATGTTGATCCCTGTGTGATCAAATATTCAGGAGATGGCTAATCTGTGCAGATTCTGTGGTACTCACCAGATTGTTGCATATTCAGGTAGCAACTAGAACGTAATCTAGGATCTTATCCTATCCCAACCTCGATTTGGGCTGTTCAGTAGAGTCACACACAATATATAGCTAATAGCATTGTAATAGAAAACGGTGGGTGTTTTAACCATCAAGCAGCTAGACTAGAGTATAGCTGCTTGTTATCTCCTTATCTCTTATTTCCCTTCATACAATGTCTTACTATAAATCCACAACTAGTGCATTCAATGGGGGTTCATAATATTATTGGTTTGCACTATGAAAAGCTCTTTGCTATCTTTACAGCTGTTAGTGTGAAGGGCATAATCCTCTTCTGCTGTTCAAGTGAAAGCGGTTGTCTTTCACAATATGTTTTCTTCCTGAATGAGGGGTTTAAGACATTGAAGAGTCTGGCATGGACAACCATGCAAAATAGATTGGTTTCACTGATCAGAATAGAGGTTAGAAATGAATGCCATTGTTGATGTCTAGCGTGAGTGTGGTGGAGCTTGCAAGCTCTCGCTTGTGGCAGCCTAAGAAAGGGTTTATGTTTGCAGGGGCGCAAGGTGCATCTAATGTATTTTGTGCATTCCAGATCAACCAACATGCATATGTACAGTGAAAACTAAAATAACATTTGATATGACTTAATTAAAAGAGACTATTCTACACTTGGTGCAATGAGAGTAATCATAATCAATTTGCATATGGCTCTTACTATTTACTCACTTCAAACAGCATAAAGCGTTGATTCCGTTGCTTTTAGGTCTTTCCACTCAGGTCTCATGACAAAGTACTGAAGAATTCCTACCATCCTTTGTTTTGAACAAATGCACAAGGAACTCCTGGGGAAAAATGTACAACGGAGCAGTTAGAACTGACTGCCAGGCACACCTTCTTTTTTGGCTCGGGGCCCATCGAATCTATAAAAACTTCCACATAATTGATGCCTCAATGTGAGGTTTTCTTTCAATGGCAAGGGCACAGATCAAAGAAGTTTATCAAAAACAGGGCAGCAGCACCTAGTGAATCTGGGTTCACCAGGAAGTACAGAGGAAGGTATCATGTTTGTTTTGAAGAAATGTGGAGTAGTTTGTTTACATAGATATGATGGATATTGCCATCAGTAGCTGGTTGTTTGTATATACCGAACTGCAGATGCAGGTATTTCACTCTATATGCATGCATACACAGAATTCCTATTTGGTTAATATACGATTAATATTGATAACTGCAACCCATTTGTTTGCGTCAGGAGATAACATTAAACTAAACAAACACATTGGAAAACGGCACATGGATGCACTTTACAGTAAAAATTGGTATTGGTATAAGCCAGTTTCCCACTTCCCTATTTACTTGTTGGACCTTAAAATAGATGCTATGACTAAGAACTTCTAACAAGAAGCTCACTCTTTAAATCATGACAGGTTAACCTTTAATTATTTGCTGATAATTCAAACATCCCAGTGTGCGTAAATTATTTCTTCGGTGGACCTGGGAGAGATAACCTTTGAATCAAGATCCTCCCTGCAAGAATACACAGAGCGTACCAGGCTCTGATCGGATCAATAGCTCTTCCTTCACCACAGCCTTCTCATTCATACTGCTTTATTGACTAGGAAGTTCACAGACATTTTGGTTCAAAGGCAGGCCAGTTTCCAGGTCAGTTTTCAGATGACTGTAGTCCTTGACTGGTTGGTCTGACAAAGATTCTGTTATAAGCACTGACACTTAATGGTTAAACTGCTCTCAAGTTGCTATTTTCAACATACAGTATACAGTATATGTCTGCTAAATGACTAAAAAAATTTAACAAAAATAATATATTTGATATACACCATGTAGACGGAAGTATGTAATGGAAATCCAGATTTCCTTCCCCCATCCCTGTGTCATTTATCAAGTTATGAAACATACAGCTGTAGCACCATGCAAAAATATGAATTCTCCCAGATATCTGATATCTCCCAGATATCACACCAGTTTACACATTCAAACGATTAAGCACAAGTCAGTGAAATACTAAGTCCCATCTGTGTTCTCTCCTAGGCAGTAAAGAGGCTGCGTTCACCTACGCCATCATCGCGGCCGGCGTTGCCCACGCCATCACTGCAGCCTGTACTCAGGGGAACCTGAGTGACTGCAGCTGTGACACGGAGAAGCAGGGTTTCTACAGTAAAGGCCAGGGCTGGAAGTGGGGCGGCTGTTCAGCAGACATCAGCTACGGCCTGGGCTTCTCCAAGGTGTTCGTTGACGCCAGAGAGGTCAAACAGAATGCCAGGTCTCTCATGAACCTGCACAACAATGAAGTGGGACGCAAGGTACGTGACCACGCCACTTCCTTTTTCTCTCTCCATAGGGAAGGATTTTAGAGGGTACAAATTTCATCCCAGCAAACCTAAACTGGATCCCGGAATATTTCATTAGGTTGTGGGAAAGATGCAGGACCATAAAAAAAAAAAAGGTTAAATACAGCAAAATCTGGGGGTAGTTCACTCAACAACAAAAAATACCACTTTTTGTGGTAAGAAAACTAAAATTGATTATTTTGGATGCATTGCTTTATTCTCTTATATGCTTTATTCTCTTATATGTCACATGATCCATTCGAAGGTTCGGAATTCCGACCCAGTTGTCAGTGCTGTGCAGCACAACCCGCGATCAGAGTTGACAGAATATTTAAGGGAACCCTAACCTCTCCCTGACCAGTTTCAACTGAAATTGTCCCCCATGAACTGTGCTAGCTAGCTTAGTTCCTTGCTAGCTTGGTTAGCTTGTTCCTAGCTAGCTAGCTAGCTGTGTTTGTGTTTGCAATGTCATTTTGGCTAGTTAGGTAAATTGTACAGGCTGCATTTCTTCTATATCCTTGCTGTTACAATAACCAAACGTTGGATAAACAAATTATTTGTGAAACCAAGATGTAATGCAGCAGATGACATGGGGTGAGATTAGAATTCTCAAACAAGCAGCCTCAATCTAATTGGCTGTTACATGCAATTGTAATCAGGTTTGAGTTGCTTCATGTAACAGCAAAGTTGCTTGAGATGATGTCACTTGCAACCTGCAACTGCACCTAAAATTACGTGAAAGTAAGAGAAGAGTAAAGTAAAGACTGAATCTAAATCTTAGACCAAAGTGTTGGTTAACTACAGGGCCTACCGAATACAGGCTAAGCCTCAGTAACCATGGTTGTTGTGATTTAGTAGTCTCCGCCATGCTTAGGAGCGGCTGGACCTTGCCAAGGATCTGGGCATTGGGGCCAAGATTAAACAGGCAGTGAAATAAAGGGAAGCTTTTAGAGGGGAAGAGCAGTTTAAGTGGCAGGGTTTGATTACGACCCAGATCTCTGGGCTGAAAACAGATTGACACTGTACAAAAAGGAATTAGCCTGCTCCCCTATGATCTGCACTGTTGGGATACAGTTACTTCATGTTTATCGCAATTCCTAAATTCCTTGGTTTGTCTGATGTCCTAGAGCCAAGCGCTTATCATGTGTAATAGTCTTCTGCCACGGGTTGCTGTGTGGTACTTAGTATTGTCCATAACCTCTCCCAACGTCATATAATCATATCTACTGTATCACTATGTCTCATGGCAGCAGTTACCTGCCTAACAGAGACTTTATGTTAACTTGTGTGATACACCTGCTGTTTTATTGGGTTTGTAGTCTGTCAATGACTCACATCGTGGCAAATCCCTAGAAACAACCAAGATGTATCAAGGACTAGGGACTGTTCACATTCTCAGATCAAGGCTCCTGTGCATCCATGGCTGCAGCAAATAGTAGATCAGCTCCAAGACTCCAGCAAGTCTGGAGGTCAAAGAATGAGCGGAATAATTGTACCAAACAACTTGGGGCGAGGCTCTTTAGCAGTACACTGGAGTTAGTGAAGAGGAAAGAAGCACCTCTCCCTCCAGAGTCAAGCCTTACCCCTCTCTCCTCTCTCTGTGCCACAGAGGCCTGATTCAAACCACCAACACGTACCCAGACAGACTGAAAAGCCTCCACTCACACATTGTGCTCAGCAGCTCACTGTTGCCTTTCTGTGTGGGGCCTGAATTCAGCCCCGCTTATCTAGACAGCTAAATTGCCTCTCACAGGGAAACAGGCTACACTCGTGGATTCAGATTATCAGTTGGGCTTTTTCTTTTTTCCGTCTCCTTGGTAATAAATGGCCTCTCTGTTTTGATAGTTATCCCCCCCTTTATTTATGCTAATCAACGCAGTGACATTGAGAAGGAGCGCAGTTCACAGCCCCCAGGTCCAATATGACCAGACAAAGCCTGTCACAAGTGTTGGTCACAAGGCTACTGATGGATTAGGAGCTGGGATCCAAGTGTTGTCTGGTATACCACGGAAAGCTAACTGCATTTGTATGCATTTCCAGTACAAAGCACTAAAATACAAATTGTTTTATTGATTCTAGAATCAAATTGCATTTGTGGAAAAGGAAAATCCATATACATTTTTCTTATATGACATAATTGAAGGTTTTTAACTTGTCGTTGATTACGGGAACTCTCAAAATCTCTATCTATCCTAGTATGAAGATAGTAGAATGCCAAACAAGCTCCCTATCCATTTTAGTTCAAGGAATTGGGACAAATAGTGTAGCTATAGTGTTGACTGTGCCTTTTCAAGTATGTCACTGCAGACACTTGTAATAGTCATCGGAGCAGGCTTTAACAGTAATATCCACATCATTCAGCAGCTTGTGCAGTCACTCCTGACCTTACTGTGTTGTGTTGTGACTACACACGAGGAGACTGTAACCTGATCCAGCATTATGGCTTCTGTGTACAGTCTGTATAAAGCTACTGTTTTCTAAAGGGCTGTTGTATTCAACCCTCACAAGTAGGTTGTTGCTGATCTAATGCTGCACTGTGGCGTACAATGTTACCCACCTCCTAGACTTTAACATACCTGAGTGTCAGAGTGTGTCACTGTGCAATGTTGTTGTTTTCAATGGGGTTGCAACAATCAAACCATGTAGGCCTATAATTGACTTCAACCTCCAATGAGGAGAGAATATTTCGATTTTGGAGGGATAATTTTCTGGTTATTATCACAATGAACATATGAAACCATTGGGGGCATTATCATGCATTATAAGTTAATTATATGCATAATAGTATGGTATGTTTGCAGATGCTTTTCTATAACCTTCAGCAGATTGTTTGCAAGGTCTGTAAAGGTAACCTCTTTCCCGGTTGTTTGTGTGTCTAGATTCTGGAGAAGAACATGCATCTGGAATGCAAGTGTCACGGTGTTTCGGGCTCCTGCACCACCAAAACCTGCTGGACGACACTTCCCAAGTTCCGCGAGCTCGGCTACATTCTCAAAGAGAAGTATGCCCATGCTGTGCACGTGGAACCAGTCAAAGCCAGCCGCAACAAGCGGCCCAAATTCCTCAAGATCAAGAAGCTCTACTCCTACCGGAAACCCATGGACACAGACCTGGTGTACATGGAGAAGTCCCCTAATTACTGCGAAGCGGACCCGATGACGGGCAGTGTGGGGACGCAGGGCCGGGTGTGTAATAAGACTGTTATGCAGCAGATCAGCGACTGTGACCTGATGTGCTGCGGACGGGGGTACAACACACACCAGTACTCCCGCGTGTGGCAGTGCAACTGCAAGTTCCTGTGGTGCTGCTACGTCAAGTGCAACACCTGCAGCGAGAGGACAGAGGTGTACACCTGCAAATGACAATATTTATTGGACCATCAGATGTGTGTATGTTTGTATGTGTGTGCATAGTGGACATTTCTTTACTAATGCATAGATGCTGTTTTTGCAGCAATAGACATTAAGGAACTATAAGCGGAAGATGGAACAACAGCGATTTTGTTTGCACACAATGCTCCTCCTCCCCTCTCAATGTACATGTACTGGGATGCCTGCATTCACTGGTGACATAAGGAGCTGTGTGCAATGGTGCAACATATCACCATAAAGGGAAACACTGTGTCTTGGAAGCCAGGATGGGACAGCCTCAGGACATGAACTATAAGACACTGAGCTGCCTACCTGCCTGCCTACCTGGATGGATGTGTACTAGCTACTTACTGTTGACTGTAGAGCTAATGGATTCCCCAACGCTCACCATGAATCAATGCTGGATATAATGCTGGACTTTGCTACTACTGTAGTTCTCTGTACATGTAGCTCAATAGGACATGCTATGCACAAATGAAATTAAAGAATCATCTGGAATATTTAACACACTGTATTTAGAGACAAAAAAATAATATTAATTTATTTTATAAAGAAACTACTGATTTTGTCCATTATGGAGCAAGTCGTAATTGTGTAGATGATGGGTGCTTCCCCCAATTAGAGTTGGTGTTATTGTTTTGTTTGTTGCAATCAAACACTGGAATTGAGTCAGCCTGGAATTTTCCTTTGTGGGATATTATGTCCCTCATATTTCTAGGTTAGGCTGGTAATAGGCTACTGACATTGACTTTCTCATGAGTTTGGGCTAATCTGAAATCGTACCCTATTCCCTTTATAGTGGCCAAAAGTAGTGCACTATATGGGGAATAGGGTGCCATTTCAGATGTGGCCTTAGTCTTCCTTCTGTTTGCTGCTAGTCTGGAGAATCCCTCACTGTGGTCTAAGGGCATCAACACTACTTACTGCCTGTGTTAAATGACAACGCTCACCTCAAGCTGACTACATTTAACAAGACATATTCAACCAGACACTCTTTTTGGTAAATACTGGTAAAGAGAGTATATTTTGTTAAAGCCTATTTTTATATGAATGTCTTATTTATACTATTTCTTCTGCCATAATTCAATTTCAAGCTCTTCCCTCTTTATCCCTCTGTAAAATCCTTCTGGAAAAATGTGTGATCTTGTGTTCGCCACTGCTGTCACTTCACTGCCATTGTTGTATACTGTATGTGATTGGAACCATGAGTTTATCCCTGTGACTATATGGCTGTGTTCAAACTGCTCTGTTTACTGCATTTCATGACTGCTATGGTTGGAATACAGGAACAGGATAAGACTAACAAACCACGACTCTGAGGGTTTCATTTCACTACCAACCCTAACTTGCATTACATTTACATTTTAGTCATTTAGCAGACGCTCGTATCCAGAGCGACTTACAGGAGCAATTAGGGTTAAGTGCCTTGCTCAAGGGCACATCGGCAGATCTTTCACCTAGTCGGCTCAGGGATTAGAACCAGCAACCTTTCGGTTACTGGCACAACGCTCTTAACCACTAAGCCACCTGCCACCTCAAGTTGGTTCTGATTTGCAGCCTGAATCTAGCCCGGTCTCTAAAACACACTGTTATTACATATTAATTACATGTTAACTACACATTCATTAACAATGGGGTTTATTACTTGGACTTTAAGTTGATTGTATTGTATGACAGTTTAATGCTGCCATTAGGCTACAACACGCCACATTGAGCAAGCTATTGTCTACTAAAGACAATGAAGCTAAAAGAACATAGATTTCATATGGCGGTCATGGGTAGTCCTACATGCCTTGAGTTAAATCAATCACTGAAATAGTTCACCCTATGGTTGCAATCCGTGAAGTAAGCAGCGGAAAACAAATAAATACATTCTTGGAAAGAGGGGGCAAAGTTATTCAGGCTTAATTGAGGGCCCCTCTTGGCCCCGCAGACTGGGAAGGAAGTGGTTGAATGTAACGGAGGAGAAAAGCGTTTGTGCGCTAATGGTAGGGTGTTGGTGTAATTGATGAGGCTGGTCGGGCTGGCTGTCACGGTGGTGATGACTTGCTCAGGCAGGGAGGAGTTGGAGCTGTCTGGTGATAGATGACTAGCACATCTGCTTCATTCACTCTTAAAGCCGCTAGTTGCTACAGCAACTCCCTCTGCGCCCCAGAAAATGTGAGGCAGTCTCCAGGAGATGCCGGCCGACACGTCAAGGAAATGTTAACGATGCTCAAGCCCACAATCGCCCGCTTCCACTCCCCATATAAAACTAGAACACGGAGAGAAAGGTGTTAATGGAAAAGTTGGTCCCAATGAATTTGTATGAATTTGGCCCCTAGCTCAATGTTGAGTAGACCACATTCCTATAGTGAGGGCCCTTCTTTCTCTCCCAAATAAAATCTTCTTCTGATGTAATATTCTCTATCAGGGCCGCATTCGTAAAGCATCTCAGAGTAGGAGATGCATGTAGGAGTGCTGATCTCGGATCAGTTTTGCCTTTTAGATAAAAATGAATGGATAGGGGGGAACTGATCCTAGATCAGCACTCCTATTCTTCTATTCTGAGACGCTTTATGAATACGGGCCCAGGGATCGAAATAACGGTCCGGCTAACTAAAAGTACTTGTACTAAAAGGACCCTGGAATATATTGCTTTTGATAACCTCTGAAGAGGAACATGGGAGTGAAGGAGGGTAGTAACTGTGACATCTTTTTGGTTGACTCAAAACCTCCCAGCATTCATAATATTGCTTCAACAGAGTCCCGCATAAGAAAAGGCAGCTGGCTAAACAGCCCTGGTTAAAGTTAAACCAGGGTTTGTGTTGAAGACACACATGACATTATCTCAGTGTCTAAAGAATGCCTCCCTCTCTTTACATATCTGAGGATCTAATATGGGTCATCTATTTAGACCTATTCACACTCACTTAGTCATGTCTTCAGCTAACCTTTAAATGACTGTGGAGAATCTCAGGCTTGGGTAGACTCTGTGAATGAGGTGTCCTTATGTTAAAGCTCCCCTAATGGTTCGGCATCCATTAATGGTGAGTAATGACTAAATGAGGTGCTGTTACAGTCATACTGTCACTTATCCACTAGTCAGATCCAGTGACCCAAAGAAACACTTCACATTGGATCTGTGTGTGTGTGTGTGTGTGTGTGTGTGTGTGTGTGTGTATGTGTGTTCCACCTGCAGCGTGACCCCAGTCAGATCTACGCCACAACAGAAGACACAGTCACTCCACCCCCCCCCCACACACACACCGTTTCATCAACCCAAAACCTCATGTTCTTTGATATCACGGCATAAGCCAGAAACCCTACATCAAGTTAGAAGATCACTGCAATACTAATTATACGCTAAGCTGTGTTTCTCCATAAACACGGCTAGGTCACTGCCAAGACATTCAGGTGTAATATCCATGTCACTCTGAAGTGGAGGGTTTGTACCCTTTAGATGAATGTTTACAAATACACAAACACACACACACACACACACACACACACACACACACACACACACACACACACACACACACACACACACACACACACACACACACACACACACACACTGATGCCAGGGGTAGCACCTGTGTTACCTGGAGATTGGAAGGTAGCGACTGATGTATAGTTGGTAGTCTGGCTCACTCTCTGTGTTGTACTGGGGGCTTGCCATGGCTTCTCTATCTAGGGCAGCCATTCAGTCTGCTGTAACCAGCACCCAGTGTCTAAATCACTCATTATTCATCTAAAGCGCTTATCAATTATTCATCCTCAATATCACCAGTTTAGAATAGTGATGAGATTGCCCGTCAACAGGTCCCACCTGATGGAATCTAACATGAGTGAGTCTTTGGCTTCTATTTGATGAAGCAGAGGATAGGAATGTAGTTTTATCACTAATATTGACATGTAAAACTCAAGAGTTCAACTTATTTTATGTTAATTCACCACTTTTGGTACCACTCACCAGATTAGAAAAATAATTGAATTCTATAAAAATGGCAGCTGTAGTCTTCATACCCTTATGAAAAAAAACATGAATTTCACGTGAAGTGTTCTGAAAAAACAAGTTTTTATGTGATCACGTGATTTTATGTGAAGTTAATGTGATAACATGAAAATACACATGTTGTAATGTGATCACGTGAAGTGTTTCAAAAACACATGTTTTCAAATGATTGCTCATGTGAAATTTCATGTGAAATCATGTGATTTTCTACATGTGAAATCATGTGTTTTTTCTGTAAGGGCTCACTTGTATGGCATGTATAAAAATACATCTATTGTAAAGGGAGGTGACTCAACTTCACAGCATGAAAGTTGAAAGGAATTGGATATATGCTTAATTCAAAACAAACCAGACTCTGTTTGTAAGAACAATAATTAGCTGGTTTCAAGCACTTCACTCATAGGACACCAGTAAAGACAGTAATTTGTGAGAGGGGGAGGAGACAGAACATTTGCTTCTCTCTCTCTCTCTCTCTCTCTCTCTCTCTCTCTCTCTCTCTCTCTCTCTCTCTCTCTCTCTCTCTCTCTCTCTCTCTCTCACTCACTTTGTCCATAAATCTTCTGACACAAGATTCTGTCAGTCATACTTTTGTTGTTCCTCTGGTTGGGACATGCACAAGCACCTGAGCTCTGCAGCAGTAAATTGCAGAGCACAAGGCTGTCTTTATGCAATCTCTCTGAGATATGGGCACATAGCTCATTGTGCAGTCTCTTAACAGTGTGTGCGTGGTGTTGGAGGCCCTGCGATCGAAGCGGGAGATAGCCGACAATATCCACTCCCCACAAGAGAGATCCTCCACTGTTTGTCAAAGCAACCCTCACAGGGTCTATCTGGCTTCCCATGCTCTATCTGATTTCAAATGTAAACACGTTTGGCATGATAGCCTCCTGGTATTGTCGGTGGCATTAACGAAATCAGAAAGAGCCCCTGACAGAGGTCATATCAGCTCTCTAGGGGACTTTCAAGGAGACATTCAAGTGGAGGATACTGGCCCCGTTCTAACAGCCCCTGTGGTTGAGAAAGCTCCTGAAATATGT